CTTGTGATGTATGTTACAAACATTCCTTTTCAGTGTGTCATTTCCCTTGACTTTGCTTTTGGTGGATTTTGCCAGGCAGAATTTTAAAAAGCTATCACAAAGTTGAGTTTGTCAGGCTCTTCTGGCTTCTGGGTTTTGTGACACAGTGTGGTCAACCTTATCCTGAAGCTTCCATTTATCCCCTCACTTCTGGTTTTTTTGTTTGCTTGTTTTTTGGTACCGGGGATCAAACTCGGGTTCTTGTGCTTGTGAGACAGGAGGCGGAAGCTCTCAGCTAAAGCCTCTGCCCCACCCATTCACTTCACCCCTCCTGCTCCCAAGTTATTGTAGGGTTCAGTAAGACAAACAACGTGAAGGGATTTCACAAAGTGCAAAGCAGTGTACACTCACGGGATACACTGGCACCATAACTATTAATCAGATAAAATTCTGGCACTAATTTGGTGAGTTCTATTGCTGCCTTCATTTTGCAGAACTGAGATTGAAGGCCAGAATTATTCACAGAGCTGGCAAAGGATGCATTAGTTGGTAGCGATATGGAAAAATGTCATGAAATTAGTCATCTTGGGTATGTGTGGGGTGTTCTTATTTGACCAGAGAAATAAAATTGCCTTAAACCCAAAGCTATGTTGCTCACTCTTCCTTCAAGTGGAAAAAAGAAACCAGTTCAGTGAGTTTTGAATTGTGCAGCTATAACTGTAATTTAAGCTTCACCAGCGGTCACTTGTGATATGTTTTCTTTATATTTTTAACCCTGCCCCCGTTTTTAAATGGAAGTTTAGATTGAACACTGTATTAAAATAAATATAAATACTGAGTGAAAAATAAGTTAACAGTTAATAGCAACTATCCTTGCAATGTTTCCTCTGGAATAGAATTGTGCACGGGTTAAGTCCCTGGGCTCTGAGGTCGGTTGGCCCTGGATGGAACGCAGTGCAGTTACCAGCTGGTTATGTAACTCAGGGCAGATTGCTTTCCTCTCTCTGCCTCTGTTTTGGCAGCTTTAAAACAAGGATGGTTACAGTACCTGACTGCCTGGGGGGTAGTAAGAAGTCTTGATAAAAATCTATATGGTGTGGGCAGAGGGATTTAGCTGAGTGGTGCTACCTGCCCCATGAGCACAAGGTCCCGAGTTCAATCCCTGGTATAAAACAAAACAACAACAACAACAAAAATTCTACATGGGGTATTCAGACCCTTGTCTGTCTAGAGGGGGCGCTCCGTAAACACTAGTTGTCATTAGAACTCAGGGATGGCTGAAAGAATCCAGGAAATGGAATCAAGACTGAGGGAAACGGAACATACCCTTTCCAGGGGGTATTCTGACCCTCCGGGTGACACCAATCAAATCTCAGGGGCAGGGGAGAGCCCGCTCCCTGATGTGCATATTTACTTGGGGAGAGTCTGGTTCCTGTTGCTAGCACGCGAAGGGTGAGCGTGGGGAAAAGCAGTTGATTCTGCCCCGTGGGGGGAAGCAGGGGACTGGGCTGAGCTGGGGAGACCAGGAGGGAAGAGGTGGGGCCTTGCTATCAGGGAGCCTGTAGGACGCTCTGTTTTTGTTTTTGTTTTGTTCTTTTTTACTTTCTTTTTCATTAAGTTTATTGGTACTTTTTAGGTATACAGTACAGTTACATGGATCACTGAGATCTTGTACCTTTACATGATGTATGTAGGTGGGGACACTCTGTTCTTAGGACAGAAGATTTGGGATGCTGTGAGATCACTGCACATGGTGATGGACTTACAGGGGCCAACTCTTTTCCTCTCTTCTTCCTCCTCACCGGAGTGCCTATGGAACCCCAGCTCTGGTCCTTGGCCCAGCTTGCTTGGGGCGTCTGTGGGCACTTTAAATCCATGTGCGCACTGGACCCTGTTTGGTGGATGGGGTAACTATCATTTTAGAGATGAGGAAAGGGAGGGTGGGGCTGGGGCCACACTACCATATTTTCCCGAAAATAAGACCAGGTGTTATATTAATTTTTCCTCCAAAAGATGCAATAGGGCTTATTTTCAGGGAATGTCTTATTTTTCATGTAAAATGACCTATATTTATTCATGTGTGAAAATGTACATTTATTTAAATGTAGTCATGCTATTTTTCTGGAACATTGCCATAACTCTCCAAACCCTGAATTCTGGCCTGAATTTCTTGCAACTACATTTCCCATAGTACCATTGGCCTCAATCTCACACGTCCAGTAGGAGAGCTCTCCTAAATGAGCACCTTTTGTCCCTGTTGCCAGCTCATAATGCACTGGTGACACAGAGGTCATTATATCCTACGCATTCTTCACCAAGTAATAGCTTCTTGCAGGTGGGGCTTCACAGAGCTTCCATTAAATCACGAGTTGGTTGAAGACGTATGAGGCAGGAGTGGCAACAAAAATGATGACAGTTAACAGTGACGGTCCATATAAAAGCAATGAAAAATCACAGGCACCAAAATTCAGAAAATGTTTCTTTATTTCACAGGAGTGCATTAAGTATTTCTATTATAACACACAACATATTGCGTTGTGAAGATTCATATTAGACACAAGCATGTCCACCCATTGTCAAGTGCACACGTTATTTGTGCATTGCACCTACTCTGATTGGCCAATCAGGAGTGAGCATGGAGTTCATCTGTTGCATAGGTGTTTACCTCTCATCCAAAGGTGTCCACCTGGATATTGACAAGTACTTAATTATAATTTATATTCTCATTTATTTTAAGTATGAATGGCAATAATAGTTACTTATATTTAATTATGTATTAATATAAGTATTTTATAATTTAGTATGTTTGTTGTATGTTTCAATGGACATACTAAATATGTCTGTCTGGCCGACAATCTTAATTGGGGCTTATTTTTAAGGTAGGACTTAGATTGTGAGCATCCTGAAAAGTCATGCCAGGGCTTATTTTTCCAGTTAAGTCTATATTTTCAGGAAAATATGGCGCCCAAGGCCGTGCCACACATCACCGCTGGGATGGATCACTATTCATCTTACTTGAAAAATCCAGCTTTTCCAGCATTCTGCACATAGCTCTATCCTGTGCTTTGCTTCAATGTCATATGGCCTTTTGGGACATTTCCCTAGCTCAGTGCCCCACACATGGATCTCTTAGAAATGTTTCTGAATTTTGAATCATCATCACCATGAAGGGAGCTGACCTCTACCGAGCTCCTGCTATGAATGGGCACAGGAGTAGGTCATGCCCCCTGCTTAGGTTCTGGTGAGCCTGGGGCTCATGGCAGAGCCGGGCAGGAATCCAGCCTGTGACGTGCCACGGTGACAGCCTTACCTCCTGTTTGCTTTGAGGATCTAGGCTTGAGGCAGAGTGCTCACCTTTGAGTGTGTCTTTCTTGGGTGAGGCATGTGGCTTTTCACTATAGAGGGCCTGAGCACTCCCTGGGAAGGGTAAAGCAGGAGGATCCGGGCTGTGGCAGCTATTTATGATCTCTGTGACCTCTTGTCTGCTGGCACAAAGCTATAATAAACCTCATGATTCACTAGTCGGACTTCCCCTGAGGAGGCAGATCCTGTGCTTTCCTACCCATGGGCCTTACTACTACCTTTGGTGCACCCTGCCCCCCTCACTCCCTTGCAAGGCCCACTGGGTGGCACCTATTATAGCCACCATGTCTCCCTGGGAAGCCCCCATCGACTGGCATGGAAATCTTTTCATTTCTGAATCTGAGCCAAAGCATATATTCTGTTCCCAGAGAAAGGCAAATGGAAGACTATACCTATTTTGAGAAATCTGAGAAAAATTTCTTCTCGGGTCACTTGGGGGACAATATACATTTATGATAGTCTTACCACGTGAAAGTGCAGTGATCAGCAGCTCTCTCATGCTCGATCCAATCTCTTCCCGGAAGTGCCTGCAAAATGGCTTTGATCTCCCTTCTAGACTGCAGGGTGCCTGAGTATCTCCATGGGTGGAAGCTGGTGCCCCACAGCCTAGGATGGAAGGCTGGTGACTCTGGGAAAGTCATTGCCCATATTCAAGACCCTGCTTTCCCAATTGTGACAGAAGGGCACCTGTGCCTGTGTGAAGCACTCCTCTCTTACTTCCACCTTGTGGGGCTGGGACAGCAGGGCTGCCCACAATGCTGCCCTTATTGCTTGCTGCCTGTGAACAGCCACTGTGCTTTGCACTACTGCTCTGTCCTCCCAAGATCTCTCATTGTTTCCATCATGGTGCTCCTCGCTCTCTACCGTCTTACACGACTTGCTCCTGCAGCTCTTCCCTTCCAGACATCTTGCCTTCCACAATTTGGGAGGGCACCATTCCCGGTGTGTCTTGCTCTGGGGGTGCCTTTACCAAGACCATCAGCAGGGATGGCGGTGACCCTGGGGAGCTGTGTGACAAGGAGCAGTGGAAAGGCAGAAATTGGTGGTGGTGGGTGGGGTGTTTTGATCATCACTGTACCTTTGCGCCTACTACGGTGCTGGACCCAGAGTAAGCTTTCAGTAAATATTGGTCGACAGAATGAAAAAGACCCCAAAGAGGGCTCATTCCACCGGTGAAGATGCAGAGGGTCGGTGGGTTGGAGATGTGCCCCAAGCTTCAGGAGCTGCTGGCCTGGCTCTGCCTGTTTGCAGTCCCACTCGCTCCCGGTGCCTTTGGGAAACTGAATATCTGGTCTGCATTGTCCCCGCCATCAGGCAATGGCTCGAGAAATATGAATGTCTTTCCCTACATGGATTGGGTCGTTTGCTAGACTCTGGGGTGGAGTGACAAACTGTCAACAGATTGTGAATTAAATTGCACAATGCAAAGAAAAGGAGGCTCTTTGGTTTTCGGAAGAAAAACCCCTAACCCAACTGCATGTAGCTGGAGCCTGCGGGACCCTCTCTGGCCTTCCCAGCCCAGATTCTTCTCCTGCCGCCTCCCTTTTGTGAGAGTCTCTTCCCCTTTTTGCTTTCAGGGAGCTCTGCTCTCCAGTAGGCTACAATGTGTCAGTTGTTATAAAATCCGGGGGGCGGGGTCTGGTGACGAGGGCGTCGAGGGAGCTGCCAGCCTGCAGGGCGAGCAGTCCGGCCCTGAGTTCACCCGGGCTTCAGCGCCGAGCGAGCCGAAAAACTTCCATCTCACTCTCCTGGCTTTGACCCTCCTTGGACATCAGAGCCGAGGCGCCGAAGGGAAGGAGGATGCGAGATGACTGGCGCTTTGGCGACCTGACCATCTCCTTAGCAGAGCCTTCCAAAGCGAGCTGGGCGCTGGCTGCACCACCCGGAGGCGCCGCGCCTCTAGCGGATGTGTGCGCGCGTGAGTGAGCGAGCGGGAGTGAGTGTGCGTGCCTGAGAGCGTGTGGATGTGTGTGGATGGGTGTGTGCGCAGTACGACCGGGTGTGAGTGTGTCTGGATGAGTGTGTGCGTGCGTGCGTGAGTGTGTGTGTGTGTGTGCCCGCGCGCGAGTGTGCGAGTGCTCTTGGTTATTTTGGGGGAGAGCAGAAAAATCTCGGAAATCTGGGACAGGTTACCGGCTCCGAGGGTGATTGGTTTGCAAGAAGAGCTGCCCAAGCGAGCGAGCTTCTAGAGCCGTTCCGGTGTGAGTAAAGAGATTTTCCTCCCGGGAAGAGAAGGATTGTTACCCGTGCTCTGCAGCCCAGTTGGAGATCGGATCCTAAACCTGGGAAATTGACCAGAGCCCTGCGATTCCCAGGGCTTGAGGAGGACTGGGGAAGAAAAGGAGAAATAAATCAAACAGCGTGTCCGTTCCTTCGGCCACATCGGAAGATGTCATCTCAAACTAAGTTCAAGAAAGACAAAGAGATCATTGCCGAATATGAAGCCCAAATAAAAGGTGAGAGGGGCCGACGTTTCCTTCTCCTCCCCTTTCCCTTTCTCCTGTTCTGCCCCCGCTTTCCTCTTTCCTCCCTGCCATCATGAAATGTTGTTATGCATCAATAATCGTATTGTGAGAGGAACTGTGGCAGCCGCACAAGTCCGGACTGGTTTCAGCCACAGAGAGCGCTGGGCCGGGAGCGTGGAGTAGAGAAAGGGCAGCGGTCTCTGCATTGCAGGTGTGGGGAGGATACTACGCCTGACTTTGGGAGTGTCGTGGCTACTCCATCATCTTGGCGGAGGCAAGTCCTCTAAAGCCATTTTGGCAGGCCTGCCTTCTCCCCTTGCCTACCATGGTAAAAAAAAACCCCTTGATATGAATGTGTATTTTTTATAGGCTGCTCCCTGTCTCCTTTTTTTGGCTTCTGTTGGTGGTAGTGGTTTTGCATGGGCCTCTTTCTCTGAGCTGGAATTCACATGCATGTGTTCAGGGAGGCAGCATCCTCAGGCGGCCCTCTTTGTTGGTGTCTCTCGCCTGACCTGGGTTGCCATGGATTAAGTGTACGGGGCATATTGATCCAGACTAATGCAGGCATGCAGGCATCAAGACAGAGTGCAGCACAGAAAATGTATTATCTTGCTGGCTGTATGCGGCCCCATCATTCTGTGCACCAGCCTTTATGGTCAGCAGCTTGGTCCCATGCAATAGCTCAATGTGCAGTTTGGGCTGTGGGGTGCTGCCGGGAGAGAGAGGTGACCTCTGGCCACCTGCTCTGGCTCTGGGGCCACTGAGCGCACATTTCTTTCAGAAGCTGCCCCCTAAATGCACGCTGGCTGGGAGAAATAGGGCAAGGTGCATACTTGCACAGTGGCAGGCGGGTGGGCAGAATCAGTGCTCAGCCTAGATGAGAGCTTCTCGTGTCGTCCCTCGTTCGGGGGCTCCGCTTTGGCAAGGGAAGCCTCCAGCTCCATGTACCATGCTTTCCCTTCTCAGAGACTGTGTACCCGGAGAAGAGACGCGTGCCTCTTGGCATCCATTCTTTCTGGCCCTGGTTCTCCTTGCTGCAACACGGGGTGTGCTGAAGTCTCTCCCAGGGAGTCAAAACACCACATATCTGCCGTGGACGTGGGGTCCTGGCTAGGGGCTGAGCTAGGGGCTGTTGAGCTGGTTGGTCATGGGGGTGCAAAAGGCCTGAGATTGCCACACTTGCTTCAGCTGAAGTCGGTGACCCGGGGAGTTGGGGGGCTCACTGGGAATGGGGTAGGCTGGGCACCCCTGCCGAGGTCCAAGCTTAGGCCCTGGGGAAATGGGGGAGGAGAGCAAAAACCCTGGAGGCTTTGTTTTTGGGCCCTGTCTCCCCAAGTTCTTTTTCTCCTAGTTCTGATCACACCCGGCATGCTCATATCCTCTGGGTAGACCTTAGGAGAGGAGCAGAAAATCCTCCTCTTCCTCGATGGCATCCACCTTAGTTTTCAATTTTATGTCAAACATAGGGACTTAGAATGTTTCAGCCTTACTAGTATTTAGGAACAGGCCCTTTGGTGATCAGAGATTTAAATTCACCCAGCTGCTCAATACAGAAGCTTAGTTACAGTTTTTGAACATATAATTCTTTAGGGAGTTCATGTTTTATAAGATCAATTCAGCTGCTCCTGATATTTTAAAAATCGAGGTCCCCATGAAAAATACCACAATGGAGAAGGGATATGGAGTTTTGGACAGTTAGGGTTTTATAAGTATTGTTTGGTAGGAAATGTGCTTATCTCATTTAAAAAAAATCACTACTGCTGGGCCAGTCAGCTCTACCCAAGGACCAGTTAAGCATTAATTGTGCTGGCATTAATTGCTTAAGCATTAATTCTTTTGTTTTACTTTTTACATTAATTTTAACAACTAATCAGCAAGTACTCTGCAGTGAATTTCATCAGGAAATTTGTCCAAATGATCTTGTATCTTTTGGACTCTAAAGTTCTCTGCATTGTGGTTGAAGGAGTTTAATTTTACTCCTTTGGAGCTGATATCCACAAGATTTAGGTCAGGATACTGCTGTACCTGAAACCCTCTGAAATCTTTGCTTTCCAAATTCTAATTGTTGAGCTGGGGTGCAGCTCAATGGGAGAATGCTTGCTTACTGTGTGCAAAGCCCTGGCTTGGATCTTCAGCACTGCAAAAGAAAAACAGAATGTGTTTGCTAATCACCATCATCATAGCTGCTGATGTGTGCATAGGGCTCTTCTGCTTCTAGGCTCTCTCCAGGGCACCATCAGCTCACATGTTGTGCAGAAAGCTTGGTAAGAGCTCAGTTCCAGAGATGGAAGAGGGAAGCCACCTCACTCAATGACTTGCCCAGGGTCTCAAGGCCAGAGTCACCCTGGCCTGGTGGCCCCGACACATTGTTTCCCCCACGCTGCTCCTGGAAGACTGATGTGGGTGGCAGATGGCAGGACAGGGCTGGGGATGGCTGCCTCTTGCCAGTGTCCATTGTTTAAACTGGAGCTCCCATCCTGCTGCCTTCATTTCTTGCCTCTGAAGAGTATTTGACCAGTGACTGACAATAATGCCCAATTCCAGGGATCTTTCCCCCTGGTGCCATCTGCCCAGCTGGGTGCAAAGAGTCTTCCTAGACAGTTTTTGTACACTGTGAATTTTGTGAGGGGAGCTTCTGATTTTTAAGAATCATGTTGAGTTCTTTGTTGATTTATTCCTTTTCATCCTTTTGAAGTGTTTACAGATCTGACAAAAGAGAATGTTTTAAAACAGTATGTTTTTCTATTGACAACATTTTTAGACTCACACCTTTTCTTGCCTCATCAGATATTTGAGTCTGTTTGGTCACCTACCAGCGATGCAGTAGTAAACCACATTTGCATGCTCCTCGTGACGGAGAACTCAGCATCTCCAAAGCCCACATATTCTATCTTTGGATGGCTCAGGCTTACTGTTTTTCCTTTTTTGTTAGTGTTTCGTTATACATCTGCCCTTTGGTTGTGTACTTTCTTCCCCTTGGGACTTAGAACAAGACAGTTGCTCACTGGCTGTTGGGAGCCTCTGCCTCTCACCTCCTTTGATTACCTCCTTTGCTTACATAAGACGGTTTGCTACTCTTTACTATCCCTGCTGTCCCCTGGGTCTGCTGCATCTTGGGCTGCAAACACAGCATCTCTGGGCACCTGGCAGGTAGAATAAATAGTGACAGGGGCCAGGCAGATGATCGGTGGCCGCTGGCTGCCACCTCACCAAAGGTAACAGAAGAAGGTCATGATATCTGTGGTGGACCTCATAGTGTAGGTCCCGCCTGAAAGGAAGAGGACAGTCATACTCGGGTTCAGCTGGCTGTTGCCAGTTAGGAGTGTAAGCCCAGCCAGAGCTTTCAGTTGTGTAACAGATGCCAGAAATCCGATGGGGGCTTTATGATTTTAAAGAGGTTTTACCAAAAACAAACAAACAAAAAATCCTCCAAAAGATCTACCTATATCTTATTCCAAGAGTGGCACCAAATTCTTAACATCATTTTCTAGACGTAGCCAAAGAAAGAAAATGACTGTCACCTCCTTTATGTTGTCTTTAACAGGTTTGTCATGTATTCCAAGGGCCCTGTTAGCCCTTTTTGCTTCTCATTGCACTCCATTTGCTGTTGAGGGAGTGGCTGCCACTCTTTGCAGAAGAAAAAATTATACATATATGAATAGTCTTCTAGGCTGGGAGCCCTAGCAGAGAGAAGAAGATGCCATGAATTTGTTTTTCGTGACCCTGTGCTGGTTCCCTATGGATGCTGCTTCCTATCCGAGTGATCCTCAGTGTCCCCTTGGAAATCTGTTGAAGATCCTCATCGAAGGGCAACATTACATTCTCCACTTGGGAGCAGACAGGCTGTAACTTCTTTCCCTTGCTGAGAATCAGAACAGCATTTGCCTGCTTCTCGCTTTTTTGGCCACATCCTGTTCTCCACGATTCCCTCGAAGGTCACTGGTGGTGCTCGGTGATCTTTACTTTAGTCATCTTCAGTATCCTGGGCTCTACAGTTCATTTTGCTGCCAGACATAGGGGTCCATTCCTGTTTACACAGAGTTCCCGTTTCCATTTCAACCTAAGGAAAGCTGAAATAGAAATATACTGATTGACTTTAGTGTTTTTAAAAATTATACATCCATATTCATTTTAGGCCACCTTTTAAAGGGCAAAGTCTGCAGTTAGGGGGAGAAGAGCAAGATTGGAGGATGATGCCAGAGGTGAGGCATTTAGTCATTTGGTCATGCATTCATTCAACAAACCTTGATTATCTACTTTTAGTCTTATGCTGAGTGTTGTGAGAGAAGCAAAGTGCCCGTTCCATTCTTCCTAAGAGTTTTCTTTGAATATGGTGATAAAACAAGAGCAGGAAGTAAAAAACCAAACACAGAACACTTCTGAGCATCAGGGTAAGCTTAGTCTTAGAGGACTTGGATTCCCATGAATTTTCAACAGGATTAAACAAGAGAAGCAGTGTGGGTCAGGAACACTGGGGAGAGGTGGGATTATGCTAACTGCACTGGTCTGCTGCTCAGGTTAAGCCTGTCATGGCCAGGTAGGAATGTGAGCCCAGAAAGGCAATCTGAATTTTAAACAAAGTTTCCTGGTTTTTCAATGGTGGGTCACATTTTAAGAAATCCTATGCTGCCCAGACAAACATAACAGCAGAATAAGGAAGATTCTGGTGCCCGTTGAGCTGCGGATTTGCAGTTTCTGGCCATAAGAAGCCTGGGATGGTGTTTTCCATGGCTTAGGGTAGCTGCCTTTGTAGCTGTGTGCTTACCTGGTCTTTCTTCTGGGCGTGTTCGTAGAGACACACATTTCTCTTGCTCTTCTTATACGGACACTAATGCCTTCACAACACTCCTGCCTTCAGGATCTGACCTAACCTAGCCACTTCTCAGAGGCCTCAGCGCCAAACCACCTCCCTGGGGGTTTGGAGCTTCAGCACTATGTGCTGTGAGGGGATACAATCATTCAGTCTACAGCAACATCTACACTTCCTGTTT